TGGGGGGTAGGCTAAACCTTCATGACTTAGCCGCCGCAATTTGGAGGTAGTTTTCACAAGTCCTTTGTCATTTCAGCCTAGTATAATCAAGTGGAACATGCTTGCCAATCAGGCTATCGATTTGTGCAGACTTCCAGTTGCTAGATGGCTGCACCCATCCGGTTCCAAGGACTTGTCGATGGATGTTGTTGGCACATGGGGTGCAACACGTTTCACCCGTGGAAGTCTGGATAGCATGTGCTCCTAGCACCACATGTTCTTCAACCATGTTCTAAAAAACACCAAGACATGGCTTCCAAATGCGTGTCTGTCAGAGCTATTCATAGCTCAGATTTCATCCCAACGTCTTGAATTTTCCCCAGTGCAAACGAGGATTTGCTGGACCCTAGCGCGTGATCTGATCAGCTAAGTGCGGCCACACCCACCCCACAGCCAAGATGGTCCAAGGCACTGCAGGCCACATCTAATCAGCCACCTGGGCAACGAGGCCACAAAACACGGCAATCGATGTGGTCAGGTGGTCAGAACACTTCACTTTGCAAAACCTACCTTGGTCAAGCTGCGGTCTTGCAAAACTCCTCCAAAATCGAAGGGTGAGAACTGGACCTCCGAATTCTAGCGGGATGGTTCACCTGTGGTGAGGTATTCCAAATGGGTTACTGGCACGAGGTCAGATCCCAGCATCCTCTGGCACATGTGCTGTATTCTAAACCTGAGCTCGGGACTTCCAAGAACAACAACCCTATACATACACAGCTTGGCTCCAGCTGTAGCATCTCCGAATATACAGTAATTCACCTGCCTGTCAGGGTGGACAGTCAAAGCAAAGAACGCACAAACCTGCCTCCGTGTCAGCCATTGCGGAGTCTCACAGCTAGGATATGCTATAGGTATAGGATGAATGATGTACGTAATTATCAATGTCAAACTGTGAAAACAGCAAACATTATTGAGTTGCCGACACCCAATGACACGGTGCAAGATCATCCGCCAGCTTTGCACTTGCAAACTTCTACAATTGTAGCTTGCCCTGCAAATGTGCCAACATCTGTTCAACACCAAACAGGACTTCCCAAACTACGCCAAGGCTTCTTCGGGCCAACAGGTCGTATACGAACGTTTGATGCTGGGCCAAGAGGTCTTTCTATCCACATCCAGCGATGTGCCATGCTGCATGCTGTCCAGCACAATTCCTCCTCGTAAAATGATGTTGCTAAGTTGGCAGTGTTTCCAAAAAATGGAGCATCCAGCATGATATGCAGCAGTCTTTCTATCTCGGCATCAGGAACCTTTGCACTTTGGTCACTTGAATGCACTTGGCGGAGTGCCGTGCACAGGACTTGCATTTGGCTGATTCAGTGGCCCCAAAGTAAGTGGCAAAGTACATTCAGGATTCATTGCGAAACGAGACCGGTTGCCGGTCCCATCTTGGAGGCCGGATCTACACGAGCCGATCTATTTGGGATAACTTGAGTCGATTCCTGGAGGGCTGCGTTGCCTGAAAGAGCTACTAGCTGACGATACTATACTCAATATGAAGGAGATTGAAGGAGCAACCTGTCAAAACGGTGGATGATTCAGCGCATGTCACCCATCCTGTTAGCACTGACCAGCCAAGCACATATCGATTCCATCGATACGATGCGCAAATCAACGGACTTTTCTGCATGCCGTGGGAGTCGGTCTGGACCGGTTCGCTTTGATGTCAGCCCCAGGCCTCGCTTTGCTTCACATCTTCCTCCTGGACTCGCAATTCGCTGAGGAACATGGTGAACTCGCCATTTGTGCATTGGGGTGTCGAGTTCCCCGCAAGTGAGCATGACCACATAAACCGGTCGTCGAACCAACAGGGCAGGCTAGCCACATAACTTTTTGACCCAAAACCAAGTCCTCCAACCATCTATTGAGGCCGAGGAGAAAAAACAATAGCATTTAGTTTAGCATACGATAGCTGACGCGTCCTTGCAATTGTGGAACACCAAACGAACAGCTGTGAAATTCTGGCTGAATCTGAGAATGGAAACAACTGGGCACTGCATGTTTCGACCTGTTTCGAAGTTTCAACCAAATAACATGGAACGGCAACCTTTCGGCGACAATTTACATCTGCAAACCACTGAGCCTTCGAATCCTAGAATGCCCATTTGAAGAAATTGAATGACATTATAAAAATATCCGCCATCTCAGCAAGAATCTTCTGTTCTCATCGACAGGTAGTGATGGCATCTGCCAGCGCGTCTATGCCTGGATCGCGGTTAATGGTCAAAAATGCCACAAGGAGGCCTATGCGAAGTCTGATATACATCCCCAACCAGCGGCCCCATGTGAGTCAATCGGTAGAACTAAGACAAGCCAATCCAACTGCTAACAACAGCCAGCAGCAGCAACAACTACCTAGCGCCTGGCGCCTGGGACATCAAACCGAATGCATTCCTCATTGAATCTCACTTGTTGCTTTACCATCCCCTTCCTCATCATCGTCTGCGGTGACGTCGAACATGCTCTTGATTCGACGGAAATTCCTGTGGTGCTGTGAGCACGCGTGTTCTGTTTCGTCTTTGGCTTGGTGAGGGCTCGAGCACCCATTGAGGCAAAAACATGGTTTTCTTCCAAGTTGTTCCCTACAGAGCCTCATGCTCGGTTTTCTTATCAACGAGCAATACATACGTGGACATATTTGGTTGAAGTCTGAAAGGCTAACAGGTGGAAAAGGATTAAAAAGGAACTGTCGGTTTCAGTCTTTAGCTATTTGGAATATTCCACCAGTGCTAAGTTGCTAAGCAAGCAACAGGTGTCAAGCAATCAAATGTGACTAGTACCTTGGACAACTCCTTGTCTTGGTCAAGCTTCCAAAGTCAACACCTGCCAACCCTTTCCAACGCAGAGCTCAACCTTCTTACTCGTCGGCAGCCCTATCTTCACCTACACATGTACGTTGGATCAGTGAGATGCATGACTTGGACTTCAAACCAGGGCGCTCGTCTTCTTCCTGAGCATGCTTGCACCTGCTCAGATCTTCAGCTCTCGCCACAAAACCTCCGATGCAGCTGCAGGAGTTACAAATACAGTACTGTAATTATCAGTCAGTCAGTCAGTCAATCAGTCAGTGGGCCAGTCAGGGAGACACAACAATGCAAAGCCAGGAAACGAAGGGTTTTGCGGCAGCGGGTGTCCGCACTCGCAACCTCCATGACAACCGGCCCTACATCACTATAAAGGGATACAACTTCCACCTGCAGCTCATAGCGGGTTGCAAGTGGCAGGCACTCCTCTGTGTTCACATAGATTTGACTTCCACGTGCAGATCGCGAATATGTGTAGTAGCTCTTGCCTCCGACAACCTGACTGACATCGTCCAACAAGTCACGGCAGGTGCTCTCCGAGGTTTCCAACACCCACACCCCCACGCCAACAGTGGCTTGGTAGCAAATGCCATTCTGATAATGGAAAAGTTTGCATTGCCACAGCAATGCCTCGACATTGCCGTCATGAGACCTGGCCCCATTGTGGGCCGCATCCCACCAAGAGGGTAAGGGATCATGCGATATGAGCTTGAGATTTGTGGTTCTCCCTAGTCCTTGGAATCTAGCTCCCATCTCACCGGAGCGTTCGTCGTCATCTGCGCGCTGAAAGGCAAACTCCATCCCATGTTCATACGCTGCTGGCATCTGAAAATGGAGGTGCCATTCATCTGTAAGCGGGCCAGTCATCCAGTGGCAATTAATTGACCAACTGTGTTTTGCATTGCCACCTTGCCAAGAGGATTTGAGACAAAACATCTTCAACATCCAACATCCATTTATATTTAAAAAAATATGAATGATATGTATCTCCCCATGCATTGGCGCTCGCTCCTGCCTTTCCTAGAGATATAATGAGATATCCCGAAATGACAAGGATGTCCTGATTTGAGAAAACAGTGCGATGATACGACAAACGTCTAAAGACATCAACTGATATCAAAGCAGCGGAAAACCCAACAGTGTCCTGCTACCTGTGTTGTCAACGTTTGCACACATGCTTCGCCTGATGCCGCGTGTCCTGTGCGGCGGCAACCGCTCAACTAGCATGCTGCCAAATGCTCTGAGACACGAAGGAATGGTCAAGCGAAGTTCGTTGTATTGATATGATGGCATTAATCCATCACTGAGCAAGTGGTGTGCACAGAGTGCACGGTTCACAAACCCAAATTCTTCACACAACACAGGAGGAGCCGCTTTATATACTGGGCGCTTGGTATAACTGAACCTTGACTAAGGTAAGACCCCGTGTTTTTAACCCCCGCAACATCTCTTCCCTTGCCTGAGACTAAGCTGTTAAAAACGAGGGGATGAATATGAAGAACTCAAATGAGAAAGAATGGGGCTATGAGGTCGAACGCAAGAAACAGGATACACAACAAAAATAAGCACCGCCTCTGCAAACATGCTGTGGCAAGTTCAATGCAACACTTAAAGGTACAATACCATGGACTATACTGGACTAAGTCTGCCAGCATCTGCCAGTGGACACCTGCTCGTGCCATGACAAGTGCACAAACAGCCCAAAATCATGAAGCGGATTAGTATTGCATGATGAGATAATGAGTCATTTCATGAATTTGTGAACAGGGATCACAAATGTCACGTGTGGAATCTGTGGGCAAACTGGTTCAGGTTCAACATTTCAGCTGTGTTGCTCCTCAGCTACTTTGTGGTGTTGAGCAATGAAAGGATCAAGGCTGTACTTGTGCAGTGCCTTCTCGGTCCGTTCCACCTGCATATAGTGACACAAGCCCGAAACCACCAATACAGCATGAATTTGGCCATGACGCTGCGCCTGTGTGAGGAAGCAGGGAATGGTGAGCAATGAGTGGGGAGTTGCTCTGATGTCGGTACTTGTTGCTGACGATGTCGGTGTGGTGGTTTCAGTCTTGAACACCGAACACCGAAACATGTGGAGGGGACAGTGGATGCAACTGTCCGGTGTAACATGAGCCCGAGCAGCCAGTCGATAGACAAGGATCAATTGAGGATTTGCAGGTCACTCCATAACGGACACCCGTCGGGTCCGCGTGTCTTGTAAGGAGCCGTGGCCTTCCAATGTTGGGCACAACTTATTGGTGCGCAGGCTGTCCTCCATGTCTCAAACCTGAGTCATACCTGGGTCAGAGGCGTTTGGATAGTAAGCACAAATGAACATTGTGAAGGGGGATTCAGAGCTGGATGAGTGCGCGGAGAAGCCACACAGGAAGACGAGCTTTTGCGGTGAATCGTGAGGCACACAGCACTCCAACAAATGAAGCAAACAGCAAACAATCTCGCGTCTACGAAGGCCTCTTGCCAACTTGGACACTCAGCTTTACACAAATTATGCAAACTAGTCCGCGAGCTCTGGGTGGCTGAACCTCAACAGCTGTCCAAAACTTAATATGTATTTTATCCTGCAGATTGTTATTCTTGCTTTTGGCAGTTTACATGTCCCAAGTTTGGAGGTCAACGCAGCGCAGTCTGATCCCCTTTCCTGCTGGATCTCCGAGATTTCCTGTTCAGAGTTTCTGCAACCAGAATGCAGCGCGCAACTTTGCTGCGTGAGGCAGTTTGGCTGACCCCACCCAGAATGCACACAGCAAGAGATTAAGAGCGTTGATGTGCTTTGGGCCTGGAAACAACATGAAACAACCGATCGCAATGCGGGAAGCTCCTCGGCTTCTCAAATCATACATGCCCGCAGTTGTGTTATTTTTGTTGGTCAGGGCATGCGGTCCTCCATGTTCACTTAGTAATCTCAGTAGTTGCGCACAATGCGTACATGATTTCGACTCGGCCACTGTCCGCACGCAGCCCCTTGCGGAACGCCTCGTTCGGGACTACACGCTGAGTCTAAGGTCGGGACATGCATAGGCCATGCCGTTGTCGAAAAACTTCAGTGAGTAGCGGTCAAAGGACTTTAGGGAGTAGCTCGAACCTTTGTGCAGCGGCCTCCAAGTTGGGCTCAACTCGAAAACTGCAGGTTCCCACAAATGTAAGCACCCATGTGGTAGATGCTCACCATGAGGAATCTCACCACAAGATGAGCCACGATGACGGGGCTTGATCGCACAACTGCCCGCATATCGCGGAATAGTTGAACTCTCTGGATTCAAGAGCGTCTTCATGGATTTCCATTGGATGAGGTCATAACCGCACAACTCACCTTGAAACTCAACAAGCTGAGGAGACGCCGGCAATATGTGGCCCACATCTTCACTGCAACTGTAATCCAATGCCTTGCGGGTGGTCGTGGTATAGAAGATTTGTGAGTCACATCTAGGTCGGGCTGCTTGCCGAGAGCACTCCATAGGTGGTGGCGGGACAACTTTTGAGAAGAGCTGCATCACGTTTTCTTTGGATGAATGGAAGAAAAAGCGCCCACAGGTTGATCCTTCTTCCTCTGACAGGTCCCATTTGCACCTGTGCATCGAAACATGCAACATCGTCTTGTGTAGTGCAACTTTGCAAGTTTTTCCACAACACTCAATACACGCCAACTGCAAAATTGGTCGTATTTATTTAGGCAAATCGGAAGTATGACACCTGTATTTTACCGAGGCTGTTTCTGGCACTTTATGGTACTGTATTCAGTCCAGGTGTTGAATATTGAAACATCGTTCTTCTGGGCATCATGGGAAGGTCTTCTCCTCCAAATCCGAGACGTTTTAACACATTTCATGGTGCACTGCCAAACTTCGCGTGCTGCTTGCCTATGCATGGCGAGAGCCCTCAAGACCCTAATGATACCAGGACCCGTGTTCAAACACTGACACCGACCCCAACATTGTTGTCTGTAGCAGTCACACAAAAATCATCCCATTAGCCCCAGCCCCGGTCCCACCCCCCATGCATGCATTTTAATATAGATGGTTCACTTCAATGTAGTGTATTATATCCCTACTACCGGGTACCGTATTGTTAGGGGGACCTCCGGGAAAAGCAAGTTACATTTTTCCAATTGAAACCACCTCCAAAATGTTGAAAGTCGATGAAGTTGAATTAACTTATGGCCCCCCTAAAAAAGCCTAACTGTAACTTACTAGTTCTACAAAAAATGTAAGTTACAATTTGGAAAAGGAGAGCTGTGGCTGCTAGGGCTGCTAGGGGGTGCCCGAACCAGGTCTTGCCAGGGTTTGTGCAGGGTTTAGGAGACTTTCATTTTTGTGAACATGTAAGCTGTGAGTGCTACAGGGTTCCAGAACCATGGGTTTTGCAGCGGTTTTGGAGACCTCCAGCTTGGAGAAGTTACATGTTCTGCTCTGTAAAGGTGCCAAGTGGTGTCTAAAATGCAAGCTGTGGGTATCTTGGTTCCAGAACAATGGGTTTTGCCAGGGTTTGGGGGACCTCCAGCTGGGAGAAGTTACATTTCTGCTGTGGAAAAGGGAGGCCAAGGGTGCCTTCCGGAAGAGGAGAGCTGTGGCTGCTATGGGGTGCAGAACCAGGTCTTGCCAGGGTTTGTGCGGTCTGGGGGACTTTCATTCATTGTTGTGAAAATGTAAGCTGTGAGCACTACAGGGTTCCAGAACCATTGGCTTTGCCAGGTTTTGGAGACGTCCAGCTTGGAGAAGTTACATGTTCTGCTCTGTAAGGGGGGAAGTTACATTTTCTGCTCTTCCAGTGTAGGGGCCGAAGTAAACACAGCAAATGCCAACAATACAAACATAGCCTAGCAATGTTTCTGGAGGACACTAGAAGGAACAGGTAGGCAAGTTGCATTTTGATATAGTGTAGGTTCTGGACCTCCAACTATGTAAGTTAAAATAACTTGCCCCCCCCATCCCCTAGAAAACAATGTAAGTTACATTTCCTAGACGTCCCTGCCGGTTTCATACCCCACAAGGCGGGAGGGATTATCTTTTCAGAAACGTCATCAAGCCGTTGGAGAACCTCCCGTCTGCAGCCTTTAAATGTGGTAATTACTACACATCTCACCAACACATCCCAAAGATGTAACACCGGCGCCTTCCGACTGGCTGAGACTCTACCACCATCCACTGGATCTTTCCATCTCCATCTGCACACTCGTGCCCGTGGAACACTAGCTGCTGTCCAGCTTCACAAGTATGTCCTTGCGAATCCTGCAGCTGGGTCCTCAACCAAGCCGTATGCACCACATCTCTGGAACATACTGGCAGGGGAAGGCATTCTCCTTGTGGGCTATCTTCTGTCCATGTGATCTGGCCAGAAAATCCAGGCAAGCATCTGCAATCAGGACCTGCCGCATAGTCTGAATGTTGAATTCGGCATGGTGCCGCTACACAAGTCCCTGATGGTGTCCAAGCCTGCCAGGAGATAGCTCCACTGTAGCCATCCAAGCAGCGGCATGCGAGACCTTTCTTCTGGTTGGAATGTGGAATTCTACATGGCGCAGGCATGCACCTGCCCCCTGCCACCGATCCATTCCACGTGATGGAACCAATGTAGCCCGGGAGGCATTGGCACAATGTGCCTGGAAGATGGTTGGAGTTGCTCACATTGCAAGGCGCGCGCGTACAGTTTCCATGCAAGACTGAGATCAGGGAAGTGTCGTTTCGATTGACTTCTGCATTGACCGTTCCTGCATAGCCATCTTTGCACCTGCAGCCAGGCCCACTGACTCCATTCACATGTTCGCCAACACATGGCATCTCTCTGCATGCTCCTGAATGCTGTGAACCAGTCCAGGAAATGGTGCCGCTATATCCTTCCAAGCAGTCACAAACTGGGCCAGCCTTCCGGTTGGAATTGCCAACGTTGCAAGGAGCAGGTTTGCACAACCCTTGGGAAGTGTTGCCCTTCCAAGTGATCTTACCATTATATCCATCCTGGCAATGGCAACCTAGGCCCGCCACTTGGTTGGAATGTTCGATATTGCACAGTGCGGGTCTACAAACTCCATGGTATTCATAATCCATTCTCCATGCTTTTTTGTAGAATCCAAATGAGTTAAGGACCTCGCCATCCTCACGGAGCACTTCCTCTATTAGCACGGTGCCATTGAAACCGTCTGCGCACCCGCAGTCTGGCCCATCCTGATGGTTGACATTGTTGCCCAAACAGGGGATCGCGGTGCAACTTCCATATGCTTCTGCACCATGCCAATGGATCGTGCCAGTAAAGCCATCCTTGCATTTACACTCCGGCCCTGGTTTCATATTGGAATTTGATATGTTGCAAGCAGCAATTTCGCAACTGCCGGTTGGAGCCGATCCATTCCAGACAATGCTTCCACTGAAGCCATGTCGGCAGCTACAGTTCGGGCCAGCTTCTTTGTTGGAATTTTGGATGTCGCATGGTATGGGGTGACACTCTCCTTGAAACACATCACGTGCCACTTTCTTCCATGTAGTGCCACCACCGTACCACGAAGTGTCATCAGCCACCTCTCGCAATTCCTCCTTTGTTGTTGCTCGCGTTGTTCCATTGAAACCAGCTCTGCAGCTGCAGTTGGGGCCAGGCTCACCATTGACACCATCTCCTTCACAAGGCCAAGGCTTGCATGGTCCAATTGCCTTGGATCCCTTCCAAGTAATTGTGCCTTCAAAACCATAGAGGCAGTGGCACTTAGGACCTGGTATCATGTTGGAGTTCTCGATGTTGCAAGGCAAAGCTTCACACCTGCCGCTTGGTGTGGACCCATTCCACACGATGCTTCCATTAAAACCTTCAGCACATCGGCAAGCAGGACCTGGTTCTCCGTTGGAGTGCTGGATGTGGCAAGGCGCAGCTTCACACATAGCTTCGACGGCTTCAGTGTAGAAGGCTCTGTTTCTGATCTTGGCTGGTCGTACAGTTCCACTGTACCCATCTGCACAAGCGCAATCTGGTCCATCCTTACCGTTCAGGTGCTTGCCCACACATTTCCTTGGGCTGCATCTTCCGTCAGCAACTGCTCCTTGCCAATGGATCTTGCCCGTGTACCACTCTAAGCACTTGCACTGCGAACCCGGCTTCATGTTGGAGTTGGGAACTTGACAAGGTGCAGGCGTGCACATTCCATCAGCACTATCACCCTTCCATACGATCTTTCCGGCAAAGCCGTTCTCACATTCGCATTGGGGTCCAGTGCCCTTAGCATTGGGAATGTTGCAAGCGGCTTCTGTGCAATTACCGCTTGCATGGGGACCATGCCAGTCAACACTGCCACGGAAGCCATCCCTGCACTTACACTCCTTCCCTGGGCGTCCATTGGAGTTGAAAATGTTACACCTTAGATTGTGCACTGGCAGGTCTGACACATGCCCAAGACCCGACTAAGAGAACAGCACTCTCTATACATAGTTTGGCCAAAAAAATAGACACACTGACCACGGCATGCACAAGTCTATATATAGATCAATCCAGGGGCTTGCATCTGCTGTGCACAAGAATGTTCACAAAAAATGCATGTGTGCCACGTGTCGGTGAAGAGTGTTCAACAGTGTCACCTTTGCCTCTTCTGGTGTTGAACACTGCAGAATCCGGCCGTGCTCCAAACTTATCAAGGACAGCACTTGTCAAGGACAGCACAAAACATGCATCAGTGCCTCAAGTCTGAGCCACTCAGTCACTGCTTGGCATACTCCAATCCACTTGCCACCTCCCCACTCGACCTTGCCGTCAAAACCATCATCACAAATGCATTTGTCAGCTTGCAAGGTGGCATTCTTGACACCGCAAGGAGCGGGGTCACAAGCCTTGGAACTGGAGCTAGCCAACACAAGTTTGTTGCAATGCATGAAAGGCCGCAAAAACCTATATGCTTCATTACTTTGAATATGTGTCTGTATGTATATCTACACGCAACTTTTCCAAAAGAACCCGCCAAACAAAAATAACTCATCGGAAAACGTTAACCAAAAACATGTTGTAGATTGTTGTAGGTACAATGTCGAAGAATGTCCTTCAATCATCGTGTCCAATAAACAATGACAAATCCAAGGGTATGTTCTACCCCTCTACGAGCAAATTCGATTGTTTATATGTGATTATAGATGTACAAACACATTTATGGATGTTTTACTCACAGAGAGAGAGAGAGAGAGCTAAGAACATGAACAATCAACTTCAATTGGTGGCCCACTGGCCCAGCACCCTGGACAGGCCGCAAATCCATGACACATAAATTAAGTTGTGCATGATTAATAGTCGCTGCTGCGAGAATAAGTAATTACCTGCAATGCAATGCTCCATCTTTACAATTACAAGCCCAAGCCCTCAAAAGTCTTTCTCATGCAGCTGCAGTGAACCCCTTCTGGAACTGAACCATTCCAAGTGATGTTGCCTGTATAGCCAGGTTCACATGCACATTCGGTCCCATTCTTCCGATTGGAGTTTGGGACGGCGCAGGGCACGACAGAACAAAGTTTGCTCAAGCTCCGGTAGTGCTTTGACGAAATCTGCATATTCCTCAGGGTGCAAGGGTCCGGAATCGAATGCTTGGAAGGTCCCAGGTTCCAACTTCAATCAGCCACTCAGAAGCTGGAAGATGACATGTTCCCAGGAACTCAAATAGAGGTTGGTTGTGACAAAGATTTTCAAATTGCTGTGCCAATATAATATATATATATATATAACAGAAAGGAGCGCTCTGAGCGGCGCGTTTTTGCATTGTTTCATTTTGTTTGTATTTTGTTTCTATATTTGTATTGTGTTTCTATTGATTTTTGTGCCACTGAAAGAATCCTATTCTGCCTCAACCCCCCCCTCCCCCAAAGGCAATTTCCAAAATTCCCCCAAAAAACAACAAGATGGAACCCACGAACCCGAATGCAAACACGATCGAAAAACTAATATGTCCAAAGGACACTCTTGTAGGACACTCTTGCGGGACACTCTGTAGGACACTCTTGTGGGCCACTCTTGTAGGAAACTCTTGTGGGACACTCTTGTAGGACACTCTTGTGGGACACTCTTATAGGACACTCTTGTGGGACACTCTTGTGGGACACTCTTGTGGGACACTTTTGTGGGACACTCTTGTAGGACACTCTTGTGGGACACTCTCTTGTAGAACACTCTTGTGGGTCACTTGCAGGACACTCTTGTGGGCCACTCTTGTAGGAAACTCTTGTGGGACACTCTTGTAGGACACTCTTGTAGGACACTCTTGTAGGACACTCTTGTCGGAAACTCTTGTGGGACACTCTTGTGGGACGCTCTTGTGGGACACTCTTATAGGACACTCTTGTGGGACACTCTTGTGGGACACTCTTGTAGGACACTCCTGTACGACACTCTTGTAGGACACTCTTGTGGGACACTCTGCGGGGCACTATTGTGGGACACTCTTGTGGGACACTCTTCTAGGACACTCTTGTGGGACACTCTTGTAGGACACTCTTGTGGGATACTCCTGTAGGACACTCTTGTGGGGCACTCTTATAGGACACTCTTGCGGGACACTCTGTAGGACACTCTTGTGGGCCACT